TGTGTAGCAATCTGAAACTATTTTGGGTGTATTGTACGATAGCGTAAGTAAATAATTGTCCTGATGTTGAGGGCCAGGGTTCTCACTGGAGGAGTAGGGAGCTAGGGATGGTGATGAACTATGGGGAAGAAGAATGTCCTGGTGAAGGGAACACTATGGCAAGATCAGGAGGTGGGAACATGTAGGTAGGACCCAGAGGGTGGTGGTTCATTTTGCCATAAGGTGGGGGTATGAAGTATTTTGGGGTTCTATTTACCTCCTGGCCTCTGTCTCTTCTCCTGTGGTGTTACCACTGCCATCACATATTTAGTATGTTAAATTTGATTATAATGAATTAAATGTAATAGTATATTTAAATCATTTGGACATCTCTGTTAGCCAAACAAAGAGTAGCCATCTGCATTTAGTTTGGGGGTGAGCTGTGGTACCCTTACCATGCCTCTAGAAGATTAGTTTTACTTCTGATGACTCTATCCCTAACTTTTCTTTATGTGCCCTTTCCTTCCTGTGGAGCCCTCGTGGCACAGTGGTTAAGAGCTTGGCTGCTAACCAAAAGGTCAGCAGTTTGAATCTATCAGCCGCTCGTTGGAAACCCTATGGGGCAGTTCTGCTGTGTCCTAAAGGGACACTATGAGTCGGAATCAAGTCAATGGCATGGGTTTGGTTTCGTTTTGGTTTCCTTCCTGTGTCTGTCTCTCCTCTCCTGACCATCCCGATATCCTGCCCTCTCTGGTCACCACTCAAACACTCTGAGACTGCCCTTTTGCTTCCTACTCCTTTCCCCACAGTGACTTGGGGACAGGACTGGAGGGGCAGAGCTCTCCACTGCTCAGCCCTCTGCAACTGGGGAAGATGTTTCCAGAGGGACCTTCTGGGGACCAGACAAGGAGTGACCCTCATGGTGACACTTTCTGACGGGCAGGCACAAGGCAGGCAGGCTGGTGAAGGAGATGGAGTTTGGGAAGTGGCAGCTTGGGCCGTTCCCCTCCCCATTCTTTCTAGGGCTCCAGAGAGGGGCCACAGCCTTGTCTGCGGGCCTGCAGGGCCCTCAAAGTTCTTTGCATTCAGGGCTGCTGCTGCTTGCTTTTTCCTGGTTGAAAAGACTTCCTGCAGAGTTCACCCTGCCACCAACTTCCCAGGCTTTTCCCACCCTTGCAGTGCCCAGGCCCTTCTGCCAAGCCTGACAATACAGCAGGGTGAAAGGAGGGCTGAAAGCAGGGAGGCCCTTCTCCTAGCCCCTAGAACAGCCAATGCTTAGTGACCCATCATGACGGGTGGTTTAGGGACTGTACTCCACAGGGCTTGGGGCTGCAGCTCCAGTAGGGGCTGTGGTTGAAAGATAGTAAGGCCCAAGGCCGGCCTGTAGGTCCCTGGGTGGCACAAGTGGTTTGTGTTCAACTACTAACCTAAACGTTGGCAGTTTGAAACCACCCAGTGGCGCCATGGAAGAGAAAGCCTGGTGATCTGCTCCCTTAAAAGTTACAGTCAAGAAAACCCTATGGAGCGGTTCTACTCTGTAACACATGGAGGTCGCCATGAATAGGAATTGCCTCGATGGCAATATTTTTTTTTTTTTTAATTTAAGGCCAGCCTATAGCCCCCAGGGGCAGAAAAACATATTCTAGCTTCCTTCAGTCCTGGATTTTTGGACTTGTCTTCAGGAACTTTGAATTTAGTACTCTCTTAGCCCATGCCTTTTGCCAAGCTCAGGGCTCTTTGGAACTTATTCTTTTGGCAGGAGGGCTCCCTTTGATGACCATGTCAAATGAGATGGAATCTGGCCAGGTTGTTATAGGAACTCAGGAGAATCCCTGGAGTGGGAAAATTAATGAGAACACGGGGCCATTCACCACTCAGCGTTGGAAAGTAGAGCGTTCATTGTGCAGGTCACCAAAGGCTGCGACAGCAGAGGAAACTGGCTTTGGTGGGGAGCTTGCTGCATTGCTAGGAGGCCTTGAGTCTGTTGAGTGTGTGTATGGGGAACGGGCAAAGCAAGTTTAACTAAACTCTGGGTTCAAATACTGAGTTGCTCCCTTACTACCTGTGCAACCATAGGCAAGTTAAGACAATGTGATCCCATTTTCGTTGAAAAACAAGTACATTAAGTCTAGAAGGAAAATCATCCTCACTCTTGCATGAGTATCTCAGTGGTGTGATTACAGGTGATTTAAAATTAGGTTTGTGCTTTTGTATTTTTTTATGACATTTTCCCTAAACAACACGGATTACTTATCTAACTGGGGGAAAAAAATAACCCCACGAAGACATCTCCACTTTGGAGACATTCTGAGAAGGGATTTTTTTGTAATCTAAGAATTGATATCCATATAATTGAAAAAGAGAAGGTCAGTACTTTTTAGCATTCAGGCTACCTTTTCCTGGCCCCTTGTCTGCCAACGGTTCTGCTGTGGGCAGCCCTGGGTTAGACCAGTGCTGGGCACAGGTGCTTCACACACAGGCCTGAAGGATCGAAGGTGGCCTCACTGGCTTGTCTGAGTGGACGGTTATTCCTGCTGTTACAGTCCAGGAGGCAGCTGTTCATTTCTCTTCCCATGCAACCATGCTATCAGCCAGCTCAGCAAACCCCCAGTCTGCCCCACTGGGGCACCCTTGCTGGTGCTGCCCTCCTTCTTTTAGACCAAGGGGCATACACTGAGGTCTCTCTGCACTCCTGTCCACAGACAGTCATGTCCCTCAGCCAGAAGGGGAACAGGGTGGTGTCACTGGGTTTCCTCCCTCACACTGGGCATCTCTGATGTCTGGGCCCCTCATCTGGCCCTTGACATAGGCTGCCTTCTATCACTGTTGTCTGTTGTTAATTTTTCTGAGGTACAACATAAACCAGTTGCCATCGGTTCGACTCCGATTCATGGTGACCCCCTGTGTGTCAGAGTAGAATTGTGCTTCACAGGGTTTTCAGTGGCTGGTTTTTTGGAAGTAGATTGCTAGACCTTTCTTCTCAGGCACCTCTGGGTGGACTCAAACCTCTAAATTTTTTGGTTAGCATCAGAATATGTTACCCGTTTTTACCTCCCAGGGACTTCATATATGCGTGCATACATACATACAGCACAACTTTCATATGATAAAACATACATGTAAAACCTTAAGTGTATGGCTAAATAAATTGGTCGACATTCAGCCATTTCAGGAGGTAGCATATGATCAGAAACCGATGGTACTGAAGGAAGAAGTCCAAGCTGCACTGGAGGGATTGGCAAAAAACAAGGTTCCAGAAATTGACGGAATACCAACTGAGATGTTTCAACAAATGGAAGCAGCACTGGAAGTGCTCACACGTCTATGCAGAGAAATTTGGAAGACAGCTACCTGGCCAACCAACTGGAAGGATCCACATTTATGCCTATTCCCAAGAAAGGTGATCCAAGTGAATGCGAAAATTATTGAACAATATCATTAATATCGCATGCAAGTAAAATTTTGCCGAAGATCATTCAAAAGCGGCTGCTGCGGTATATCAACAGGGAACTACCAGAAATTCAAGCCAGATTCAGAAGGGGACGTGGAACCAGGTATATCATTGCTGATATTAGATGGATCCTGGCTGAAAGCAGAGAACACCAGAAAGATGTTTCCTGTGTTTTATTGACTATGTAAAATTTAGTGGCTTAAAACATCAACAGTTCATTATTTTGCTCATTGATCTTCAATTTTGGCAGGGCTCAGAGGGGTTGCTTTGTCTCTGCTCCATGTGGCATTCAGCAAGGGCAGCTCGACTAGTATCTGGAAGACACATTTTAGATGGCTTGCTCACATGTTGGGCAAGCTGGTGCTGCCTAGGCTCAGCTGGAGCTGTGGTCCAGAGGCCTCAGTTCACAGCCACATGAGTCTTGGGCTTCCTTCCAGTATGATGGCCGGGATCCAAGAACAAGCATCCTAAGATAACAAGGTGTAAGTGCAAGCCATTTTGATAAATGAGTCTCAGAAGTCACATTGCGTCCCTTCTGCCCTCTGTTGGTTGAGGTAGTCACAAAGACCTTCCCAGGATCAGGGGGAGGGGACATAGACTCTACTCTGGATGGGGGTGGGAGGTTCTAGAAGAGCATGGGGATGGGAGGTATTGGGGCGGCCATCTTTGGAAAATACAGTCTGCCACATTACGTCTGTGAGATTCATATACATTGTTACAGGTATTCATAGTTTGCTTTTTAAATTGCTGCATAGTATTCCATTGTGAGTGCATACTACTATTTACTTATCCATTCTACTATTGATTAACATTTAAGTTGTTTCCAGTTTGGGGCTATTATGAATAGTGCTGCTGTGAACATTCTTATAGAAGTCTTTTGGTGAACACAGATTGCCTTCTGTCACTGTTGCTGTCTCTTTAGTTTTTAAGATTGAAAAAAATCATACAGTTCTATCAGCTTTTTTTTCTTCTATCAGTTACTGTAGCCATATGTATTTTAATATGTAATCTCTACTAGTGTTTATAAAATATTTAAAAGAAATTATATAAGTATTATAAAAATATATTCTCTTCATAAAAACTTTCAACATTACAATTAAGATTAAAGTTTCTTCTGACAATTCTGGGCCCTTTTTAATCCCTATTTGAGGTAACACCTGTTAGCAATTTGGTGAGTCTCCTTTCAGAGCTTTTTTTCATGCATTTACATACATAAGTTTCTCAAAGAAAATACCGTTTTATATGTGTGTGGGTTTTGTTTGTTTGGTACAATGAATGGCATCATACTGCTCTGCAATTATCTTTCTCACTCTGCATCTTGGAGATATGGCCATGGAATCATATACAGATTTACTTCACTTTTTAAACTGCCAAATAATGTTCCATAGTGTTACCAGGCCACTGTTGTTTAGCCATTTTCCTGTGGAAGGACATTTAGGTTGTATCTGTGTGTGTCCCGTGAGGCCTTGCACACGAAACACTGCAGTACTTGATTGATACTAATGCAATCCTACAAAGGAAAGAAGCCTTGGACCTGTGCCCCTCAATGTCCCTTTTCTTTCCCCCACAGAGACGTCTCAGAGAGGCTGTGCAGCTGCTGGAGGACTACAAGCATGGGACCCTGCGCCCTGGGGTCACCAATGAACAGGTACTGGAGGTGGGAGTGATGGCATGTGGGGAGGGGAAGGGAAATGGCAAATTCCTAGCCCCTTCCCTGCAGCCAGAACCCCCTCTATACCCTCAGTAATCACTTCTACTGCTGCTGCATACCCCTGTGGATTTCTGGCTCTTTGGAAGGGATATTCAGATCTCTCCTGAATCCTCGGTGTGGTGGGAATCATGGGGGCTGATAAGGCTAGAGAGGCCCAAAGGCAGTGGTGTGCTGGAGGAGCCCACATGTCCTTCAAGAGCTGACTGTATATATCTCTTCCCACCTCCACATCCAGTGACATCATGGTGGTGGCTTGAAATCAGCTATGGTGGGAATATTTACATTATAAAAAACAAAACTATTGACTAATGTGCCAAAGTGTTTCTTTTTGTTCATAAATTTTAACTTCAAAAAGTTTTAAAGTTAAAATTAATTTTACTATTTCCCGAAGTAATACATGTGTATAGTTCAAAAAGTCAAATAGTGCTGAAACACTTGTAAGAAAAACTATCAGTATGCTCCCCACTTCTCCCCAGTTCCCACTTCTGTTCCCCAGAAGCAGCTACTTTTAGCTGTTTTTTTTCTGCCAGGGATCTATATTTAAAACCAATATGCTTGCTTTTCCTGCTGTTTCTCAATTTGATCTTTTGCATTATTTATTACAGTAGAGGGGCCTGGTGGCGAAGTGGTTATGAGCTCGACTGTTAACCAAAAGTTCAGCAGTTCGACTCCACGAGCCACTCTTTGGAAACCCTATGGGGCAGTTCTACTCTGTCCTATAGGGTCGCTATGAGTCGGAATTGACTTGACAGCAACAGGTTTTTGGTTTTTTTGTTATGGTTGATGAGCATCCTGCTCTTTTATTACCCACCCCATAAATACATTTCTCCTCCCCACACCAGCCATCCTACCAACATAGTTGTCATGGTTTTGGGGTCTATCAATATTCAGTATCATATTATTGTTGTTAGGTGCTATCTAGTCGGTTCTGACTCATAGTGACCCTAAGTACAACAGAAGGAAACACTGCCCTGTCCTGCACCATCCTCACATTCGTTGCTATGTTTGAGCCCATTGTTGCAGCCACTGTATCAGTCCATCTCGTTGAGGGTCTTCCTCTTTTTCGCTGACCCTCTACTTTACGAGGGACTGATCCCTTCTGATCACATGTCCGAAGTAAGTGAGATGAAGTCTCGCCACCCTTGCTTCTAAGGAGTATTCTGGCTGTACTTCTTCCAAGACAGATTTGTTTGTTCTTCTGGCAGTCAGTATTCTTCACCAATACCATAATTCAAAGGTATCAATTCTTTTTCGGTCTTCTTCACATGCATATGAGGCAGTTGAAAATACCATGGCTTGGGTCAGGCGCACCTTAGTCCTCGAAGTGAGATCTTTACTTTTCAACACTATAAAGAGGTCTTTTGCAGCACATTTGCCCAATGCAATATGTTGATTTCTTGATTGCTGCTTCCATGGGCATTGGTTGTGGATCCAAGTAAAATAAAACCCTTGACAACTTCAATCTTTTCTCTGTTTATCATGATGTTTCTTATTGGTCCAGCAGTAGAAGCAAGAGTTTTTGTCTTCTTTATGTTGAGGTATAATTCATACTGGAGGCTGTAGTCTTTGATCTTCATCAGTGAGTGCGTCAAGTCGTCTTCATTTTCAGCAGGCAAGGTTGTGTCATCTGCATATTTGCAAGTTGTTAATGAGTCTTTTTCCAATCCTGATGCCACGTTCTTCTTCATATAATCCAGGTTCTTGGATTACTTTCTCAGCATACAGATTGAATAAGTATAGTGAAAGGATACAATCCTGATGCACACCTTTCACGATTTTAAACCACACTATATCGTCTTATTCTGTTTCAACGACTGCCTTTATGGTCTATGTACAGGTTCTGCATGAGCACAATTAAGTGTTCTGCAATTCCCATTCTTCACAGTGTTATCCATAATTGGTTATGATCCACAAGTCAAATGCGTTTGCACAGTCAATAAAACACAGGTAAACATCCTTCTGGTATTCTCTGCTTTCAGCCAAGATCCATCTGACATCAGCAATGATATCCCTCGTTCCACGTCCTCTTCTGAAACTGGCTTAAATTTCTGGCAGTTCCCTGTCAGTGTACTGCTGCAACCGCTTTTGAATGATCTTCAAAATTTTACTTGCATGTGATATTAATATTGTTCGATAATTCTCACATTCTGTTGGATCACCTTTCTTTGGAATGGGCACAAATATGGATCTCTTCCAGTCGGTTGGCCAGGTAGATGTCTCCCAAAGTTTTTGGCAGAGATGAATGAGCACTTTCAGTGTTGCATCTATTTGTTGAAACATCTCAAATGGTATTCCCTCAATTCCTGGAGCCTTGTTTTTTGCCAGTGTCTTCAGTGCAGCTTGGACTTCTTCCTTCACTACTGTTGATTCTTGATCATATGCTACCTCCTGAAATGGTTGAAGGTCGACCAATTCTTTTTGATACAGTGACTCTGTGTATTCCTTCCATCATCTTTTGATGCTTCCTGCATCTTTCAATATTTTGTGCATAGAATCCTTCAATATTGCAACTTAAAGCTTCAATTTTTTCTTCAGTTCTTTCAGCTTCAGAAATGCTAAGTGTGTTCTTCCCTTTCGGTTTTCTAACTCCAGGTCTTTGTACATTTCATCGTAATACTTTGTCTTCTCGAGCCGCCCTGTGAAATCTTCTGTTCAGCTTTTTGACTTCATCATTTCTTCCATTCGCTTTAGCTGCTCTGTGTTTAAGAGCTAGTTTCAGAGTCTCTTCTGACATCCGTTTTGGTCTTCTGTTTCTTTCCTGTCTTTTAATGACCTTTTGCTTTCTTCTTCTATGATGTCCTTGATGTCATTCCACAACTCATCTTGTCTTTAGTCATTAGTGTTCAATGCTTCAAATCTATTCTTGAGATGGTCTCCAAATTCAGGTGAGATATACTGAAGGTTGTATTTTGGCTCTCATGGACTTATTTTAATTTTCTTCAGCTTTAACTTGAACTTGCATAAGAGCAGTTGATGGTCTTTTCCGAAATCAGCCCCTAGCCTTGTTCTGAGTGATGATATTGAGGTTCTTCATCGTCTCTTTCCACAGATGTAGTCGATTTGATTTCTGTATATTCCATCTGGGGATGTCCACATGTATAGTCACCATTTATGTTGTTGAAAAAAGGTATTTTGAATGAATAGATCGTTGGTCTTGCAAAATTCTGTCATGCGATCTCCTGTGTTGTTTCTATCATCAAGGCTGTATTTTCCAACTACTGATCCTTCTTCTTCGTTTCCAACTTTCACATTCCAGTCACTAGTAATTATCAGTGCATCTTGATTGCATGTTTCATTTCAGACTGCAGAAGTTGGTTAAAATCTTCAATTTATTCATCTTTGCATTTGTGATTGGTGTGTAAATTTGAATAATAGTCGTATTAACTGGTCTTCTTTGTAGGCTTATGGATATTTTCCTATCACTGATAATGTAGTACTTAGGATAGATTTTGAAATGTTCTTTTTGACGATGAATGCAATGCCATTCCTCTTCAGTTTGTCATTTCTGACAAAATAGATCATATGATTGTCTGATTCAAAATGGTCAGTACCAATCCATTTCAGCTCACTAATACCTAGGATATCTATCTTCAGGAGTTCCATTTCATTTTTGACAACTTCCAGTTTTCCTAGATTCATATAAATAATCTTTACTACAGAGTCAAGTTGTTTGTATCATGATTATATTTCCTCTCTTCAACTTTATGTTTTTATCTGGAGTTAAAATTGCCTTATTTTTTCCATTGGCATAGTTTCCCTTGTACCGTCTCTAATTCTTACTGTACCCTCTAGCAGCCTTCCAGTATTCTTGGTACCTCCCTTCAATTTTGAAACTTTTGTCTTTCAGTTCCATTTTGTCCCCCTGAGATTTTTCTTTCTGGGCCCCACCTTTCTCCAGCTCCAGGCCTTCCTTTTTCTTGGTGTATATCTTCATTTTGGTGGAGTACCTCTTCCAATAACTTTCTGATATAGGGTAAATGAAGAGAAAATGTTCGAGTCCTTTTATATCTGAAATTTTTTAATTCCGTGCACACCCTTAATTGAAAGTTTGACTGAGGAGAGAATTCTAGGTTGAAAATCATTTTCCTTTAGAATTTTGAAGACATTTCTCTACTGTCTTCTGATTTTCAGTATAAAACCAGTGCCAGTTGCCATCAAGTCGATTCCAACTCATGGTGACCCCATGAGTAGCTATTGAAAAATCTAAGGCCATTTTTTTCCTGATCCTTTACAGTGACCTGTTTTGTTTCTTTGGAAATTTTTAGAATCTTCTCTTTATCTGTGAAGTTTATTTCTGAAATTCCTAGTCATTATTTTGGGTTCTTGGTGCCTCCTTTCAATCTGAAGACTCCTATCTTTCAGCTGTCACAAATTTTCGTATACTTTTGCTTTGATAATTTCTTCTCATTGTGGAGCCCTTAATAGTCAAATATTGGATGTCTCACACTGACACTCAGGATTTCTTTTTTTTTCCTACTCCATCACTTTGTTTTTCTATTTGGCTTTGCATAATATTTCCTTGAGTTTATTTTCAACATATCTCTTGAATTTATTTACTTTAGCTATTATATTTTTAATTTCCAAGAGCTCTTGATTGCTATTTGTTTCTTTTCTTTATTCTTTTAAATAAAGTCCTATTCCTGTTTTGTGAATGCAGTATCATCTCATCTGTCTGCATTCCGGAGAGCAAGTAGGGTCTTGGATTCTCTTTCTTTAGTAGGTTGATAAACCTCTAGCATCTGGGGGCATAGGTGAGGGTAGTAAGAGTCACTCGCTGTGCAGTGAAGATATGAAGACCCCATTGCTTTAATATAGACTTTTAACCAACCACCTATGTTTGGCCCTGTGATTAACCCCTTTTTCCATGGTACCTGGTTTCTCCAGGTCCTGCACTTTGCCAGGGTCCTGGAGGTGATGGACTGACTCCTTAGTAAGTG